AACATGAACCTGGGACCTGCACACCATCCTCTGAAGCGCTCTCAGGTACATATCTGTGGCAGTAATGGGGTGACTGCTGGCACCTTTTCCTATCATTTTTTGCCTTGTGGTATTCTGCTTGTGGTGTGATCTGTCTTTTTTGCGGTGTGGCATGATTGTGTTATTGGGTTTGTTTCTTTTGAAGGGGAAGTGATGTGTTGTGGGTGAGGTCATATTTTACCTTAGAATACAGCAGGTCCTATATGCAACAGACAGTTCCAACTGTCTCGTGGGGGGGAGTTTGAGGTGCGGAATGGAGTGAAGTCCAATCAGCTGCCATATGCAAATGACCTTGAAACGCTGGCTTAATCAGAGAAGAGTGGCCTAGGCTGCAGTGGGTTGGAGAGAACTCAGGCAACGCAGCCAGTGGATAGAGACACCTTGTGATTGACATATCACAGAACCAATTGATTTTGGCGGGCATAGAATGTTGCCATGCGAAAATCCTTTTGTATATAAAGACAGGATACATTTCTTCCCTGGGTTTTTATCACTCGAATAACCAAGACCATCTGACAGCCCTTAAAAAAAATCATATGATAAAAACAGTAAGTCATAAAACAAAAAATATCATATAAAATTTTAGAAGTCCAGCAGCCGCATTACTTTACACACTTTTAACATGTTTTCTTAAATGAAATTCTGCAGCCTTTCCTGTGTTCCCACAGAATCAACACTGCCCATGGATAGGCTCCAGCAATTAATACCTCTGTGCATGGTTCTAGACCTAGGAAGCAGGGAAGTCTCCTTCCCAGAGGGAGCGGGGTGGGGGGGGTGGGGGATGCACAAAGGCTGTTGGGAAATGATTTTTATCAGAACCTCAAGTCTTGCACAGAAGGCTTGAAGGAGACAAGCAGAGAGAGCCTGTGGGGCATTTGGGCCCCCTTTTGTGCTCTCTTGCCAGTGAGGTATCCCCATGAAATTCCACAAATGTGTTTACAGTTATGTACATGAAGGCTCCCTCCTCCTCTTCCAGACTGGAACATTTTAGAGAATGTACTTTTAAATACACACAGCCTGTTTCCAGTGCTTTATGCAAGTACCTTGCTGTTGGAAATGGAATACACTGCCAGAATCTTAAAGGTAAGCCAAAGGGATGCACCTGAGCTTGTTCTTTCTTGGGCTAAATGACACTAAAATATTAGACGTTTCAGACCTGGAGGAGACAGCTTAAGAGAAACAGTATTTCCCCTAAGGTTTCCCCTAAGTCTCCCCCCCCCCTTCTTACACTAGCAGGGATATTTACCTGTATAACCTTAGCTTAAATAGTTTGCTTAAAAGTCTCCCTCTGCTTTTCCTTCAAATGAGAGCCTGTGGCTTGAGGGACAAAGAATTGGACTTGGGCCGGAGAGACTTTGGTTGAAATCCCCACCCAGCAATAAAGTGTGACCGTGTTGTCTGCACAGCAAGAATTTATGCTTGGTTTCTAGTTAAAATGTTACCAGCTTTAGTGTTCAGCTATTGAAGATTGTTCTAATTAAAATGATTTTGAAAAGTAAATAGAAATTATTGCATTGCTGCCTGCTTTGTTTTTGTGTTAAAATGCAAGTGCATGGGAAGAGAGATTAAGATGCCTTCAAGCGGGAGCAAGATTTGGGGGGGGGGAAATTGCAGCTGGTCTTCTGTAACCACGGGGCAGGGCTGCTATAAAGTCCTGAGACTGAGGCATAGCGTAGTGATTTCAGCTCATACTTTATTCATGCATTGGAGAACTTGAGATAACTTGCGGGACCCATGGCCCGCTTATATTCCCGTTCTTAACCACACCCAACACACCCACCCACACCCGTGGTAGGTTTATTTACAAACAACTCCCTGTACTGGTTCCCACTAGGATCCGGGCTGGCCAGTTGGTTAGTTCTTGGATCCTTTGCTTCTATTGTTCTTGGATGCGAAGCTCCACCAGTCCGCATGGCCACGTGCGGGCCCGACCACGTGTGCGGTCTCCCTGGGTACCCCCCTCCCCCCTTGGTCCAGATTATCCCTCGCTGACATAGTCTTTGAGGTACGTCGGCCACCTTCGCTCCCTTGTGCTGTGTACCTCCCTGGGTACACAACAGCTGCCAACCTCCAGATGGGCCTGGAGATCTCCCCACCCACACCCGTGGTAGGTTTATTTACAAACAACTCCCTGTACTGGTTCCCACTAGGATCCGGGCTGGCCAGTTGGTTAGTTCTTGGATCCTTTGCTTCTATTGTTCTTGGATGCGAAGCTCCACCAGTCCGCATGGCCACGTGCGGGCCCGACCACGTGTGCGGTCTCCCTGGGTACCCCCCTCCCCCCTTGGTCCAGATTATCCCTCGCTGACATAGTCTTTGAGGTACGTCGGCCACCTTCGCTCCCTTGTGCTGTGTACCTCCCTGGGTACACAACAGCTGCCAACCTCCAGATGGGCCTGGAGATCTCCTGGAGTCGCAGCTGTTCTCCAGGCTGCCAAGATCAGTTTCCCTGGAGGAATTGGCTGCTTTGGAGGGCGGATTCTGTGGGAGTCTACCTAGGATTGACAGGCCGAGCCCAGCAGTGGGCAGGAGGGGTGGGGGCAGGGGCACAGCGAGGGGGCTTCCCTGACAGCTTACCGACATCGCTTTGGGGCAAAATCCAGAAGAGGCAGCGTATAGCTCTAGGAATTGTTGGACATTCAGTGGTAAAACCATAGATTCCTAGAGCTACGTGCTGTCACTTGCAGGTTTTTCGTAAAAGAGATGTCATCATGCTGATGGCATTGCCAGGTTTTTAAAATTATTTTTCTCCTACCGTTACCTGGAGCGAAAGCAGGAGAAAGCTAAAAGGAACCCTGGCAACATGGCCAGTTTGGAGTGGTGGCAGGCAAAGGGAGCTCAGGGCAGGGGATGCCCTGCCCAAACTGGAGACTTGCTGGAAGCACTAAGTATACCCCACCCCTCCCCAAACCTTGTTCTCCACAGGCTCCATCCCCAGATCTCTACGATGTCCCCAACCTGGCAGCCCTAGGTTTGTTTGCATAGAATGGTGGTTTTTGCATAGTATGAACAGTTGCTAAGGAAGTCATAGTGGAGAAGTCTTGTTGACATTGGTAACCCAAACCTCACACTTGGTACTTTTAAATCAACTTCTTACTTTAGACTCTTGGCGTAGTGCCTAGGAATCTAGTTTGTTTTGTTGACTGATTTAGTAGACTAAAAGTGCTCTCCTAAACAGAATTATACATTTTTAGATCCAGTGAATTCAATAGGTTTAGAAAGATGTTGGTCCTGTTCACACGCGGAATTTGCGGCGGGAGAGGCACGAATGTCGGGCGGAGGATACGGGCGCGATCACAAGGACACATCTGGCAAGCGTAGCACACCCATCGCCGACCCGTAGCATCCGCCCGAAGATCCGGAGTTAAAATACCCGGGAAAGCCTACTAGCAACGGTTTGCTACGGGCTGTTGACGGAATACCTATGTGGGATCGCTCAAGTGCACACTGAAAACACCCGCCAACAAACAAAACCCCACTTTGTTATGGCGGCGTCTGATTGCGTTCTGGCATGTTAAATTGTGCCGGTGTGAAAAGCCACGCCTCCCCCCCCCCGCGTTATCTGGCCTGTGTGACCGGGGCCATAATTGTGCTTAGGGTTGTTCTGCAGGACTCTCGCGCTTAGGTTGAAATTGTTAGTGGCTGGCTTATGTCAAGCCCTGTTCTTTATCTGTAAAATGGGAACAATAGTGACTTACCACCCAGGGTTCTTGTGCCGATTATGACATAAACGGCCGTTGTTAATGTCCATACATAAATGTCCCTACATTATAAAATAATAATTTTGCTGTCTTGCTGCCTGCCAACAGACAGTTTACAGCAAGAATTTGAACAAAAGGAAAGCAAAGTAGGTTGGGAAAATTAGGCCAAGCAAGTGCATCCTTTTGTTTCATAACCTAGATTTTTGGGCCAGAGAAGGGGTGAGGAGCAACACCCCCCCCTTTCTCCTGGTCCTATTCCAGATTCATATAACCGTAAAGTGATGCTGCTTCCTGAGGAGGGGAGCACAGCCTGTACATTTTCAACATTCTTGCTGGAGTTAACAACTTAGAAACATGACTCCCCAACAGAGGGAGGGCTCAGCCTATTTGTGTGCGTGTGTGTGTGTGTGTGTGTGTGTGTGTGTGTAAAGTTTAGTCACGAAAGGGGGGTGGAAAAAGGAAAAAAATGCAGAGCCTCAGGGTAGCCTCTGACATTGCAGTGGGCTGGCAGGCAGCTCCCAAACAATGTGCTTAGTATTATCCCCGGGACTGGAGCTGTCGGATAGGGCTGGCGCGCTTTGCCGTACCTGTGCAGCTTGGGCTATCTTTGGCTAGGTGCCAGCGTGCCGAGAGGGTTATTTCCCCCTCTGCATTCCCTCCCTCCCTCCCTCCCGCGTGTGGTGTGTAGCTCCCCCCCCCTTGCAGGAGTTGCTCAAAAAGCCTAGAAGCGGCTCCTTTTTCTTTTTTCCCCTCCTTTTTTTTGAGGGGGGGGATTTACTCATCTGTTCTTTCTTGCCCTGCTTCCGTTTTCCTGGGTGAGGCCCCTTTTCTCCCTCAGTTCGTAAATGTTTCAGTTTGGAACCAAAGGCTTCTTGTTTCTAATTCCTCTCCTCCATCTCCCTCCCTTTCTGCTTCTGCACAGGTTGCAACCTCTCCTGTCACAAGAAATGTGAAGCCAAGGTAAGAGCTGCTTGTTTCTGCTCTGATTATCTTACCATAACATTGTGGTTTGTGCTACTTTCCCCTCCTGTCTGATGTGAGTCTTCTTTGAAAGTAATTTGGATGACTGGGGTGGGTGGGGGTGCTCTTCTGGTGTTCTCCCCTCTCTCCCTGCACTCTGTTTATTTCAAGATGAAATTTGCCAGGTTCCCACCAGATCTGGACATTCTTGTTGCAAACCGTCTGGGAACACCTCAGCCCTGAGCTGCTAGCGAGGGAAAGCAATGAACCTACCTTGATATGTATGGCTTTTTAAAAAATTGCAGCAAGCCTTTTGAAACAGTCCTTCCTGGGTCAGTACTACGGCGGTTTGCCTAGTTCTTTTTTATTTCTTTTTCTTTTCTGTAAGGAAGGCTGCTGTATTAGCAGAAAAGGTTTGCAGATGCCTTCAGGGAGAGTGATCTTACCTCATCAGTGGATGTAAGATAAATGCAGCCTCTTCAGAATTATTCTGTCTTTACTAACTCACATTAGTAGGTCATGGCCTTTGAAGCAATTGGGGATGGCCAGGGCAGACGAGTTCAGCTACAAGGAAATCTTTTTGCTTTCTCTGTGCATTGGTAAGATCCTTTTCACTTGGCTCTTGATGTACAAAGAGTGCTTTACAGTGGTGCTAAGTCCTCATACATGCCTTGTACTATTCTCATTTAACAGACAGGGTGTTGAGACCAAGACATAGAGATTTGCTCAAGACACTCTAGTGAGTTCAAAGCTTAGGATGTGATATGAACTCAGGTGCCTGCCTACCCCTTTTGGACCACAGTGGTTTCTTGGAAGCCTGGTAGGCAAATGTCAGCAAGTAAGTTGGTGACATCCACCAAGGAAAGAGATACTGAAGCTCTTCGTGCCTTTCCCAGCCGTTGTAGTTACAGAATGGGGAAGTAGAGCCCATCAAATGGAATTGCGGTGGCACCACAAACATGGCTCACTCCTGGCTATACCTGGTCAGTGTTCCTCAACCCCAAGGGGACAAATTTCCCATTCTCAAAATTTCTCTTTCCCCTCAGTTGGTCTACGACGGGCAGCCGTTTAACATACTCGGCTGAATGAGAAGATATGTTCCGGATGTGATGCTATTTGGCAAGTGGCAGATCCTCCCGTATTGGTTTCAAAGGCAGATGGTTTTCTTTTGGGTCTGCCTTTTCTTATACGTCAGATATTCATTGGTCTGAAGAATTCCAGAATCTCAATGACTGAGAAAATACCAATGTGCCAGGTATGACTGCAGCCACGGTCTGCCGTTAGGGATTTTTGCATAGTTGGTGGTACCTGTTGTATATCTTCAAACATTTTCTTATGCTGTTTGCAGTTTTTCTGCTGCATTGATTGTGCAAAGGGATCTGAATGTCTGACTCTTCATTTGCTGTATTGTCCTTGCAAAGTATAATATTCTGGTCTCCCAAATGCTACCTTACTTGCTTCTGGGCTTTGCTACTCAGAGATGCTTCACTTGCCATGTTAGCCCTTGCTAAGCTGTGGGTTTGACAACCTTCACCCACTCTTTATTTTTCACCTTCTTATCCTGAACTCTTTTCATACTCTGTTCTGGGAGAGTCGTCTCTTTCCCACCCTCTTTGCATTCTCTATCCTACCTTTCACTGTAGAAGAGAATAAGGAGGCTAGCACATCTTTTGTTACCTGGCTGATGTATAGTAGTGATTCTGCTGGCTCCTGATTTTCTGGACAAAACTAAAGGACCCATGGAGGCCTTAGTATTGAAGGGTTGTTTTGGGAAGGTGGCTGTAGGTATTCCATTAGGTCTTGACCTTTATTTGTATGCCATAGCAAAGATGAAAGCAGAGAGAAGGAGAAGGTGCATTCAGTGAACAATTTCTGAACATAAGGGATGAGAACAGATTATTCAAATCTGTTTCAGGGCAGTGACCACAAAAGTGGATGGTTGGGATGCATGTGTGTGAGGGGTTTGTAGAAGCCAAGGCCTTTGCAACAGCTACATCAGGATGCCACTCAAGGCAAGATTAGCAGTGCTGTCCTAGGCAGAGTTTTACCCTTCTAAGCCTATTGACTTAAATGGACTTAAAAGGGCGTAACTCTGTTTAGGATTGTGTTGTAGGTTTGGAATGTGAACGGATTACTTAGCACAGTGGACAAATCCATATCAGCAGTGATGGACGGTTTGAGGAATCAATACTGTGGGGAGCCAAGTTAAGACAGGAGAATGTAAGAAGGTTGAAACAAACAAGACAAGTGTATCCTTTGACTGAATCTTAGACAGAGGCATCATTATGATTGGTACCCTGCAAGAAGACAACAAAGCTCTGCTCCTCTGGCGTTTGTATCTCATCTTTCCAAGAAACAAGCTGAGCATATCCCTAATGAGCCCTAGCACACTTGCTGCAGCCGGTTTCCCTATTATTTAAGGTAGCTCTGTGCACGGGAAGGAATTCGTGTACAATAGTTGGCCCTTCCACAGAAGTGAATGAAGAAACCTGTTTATCCAGGAGTTCCGTGAACACTTCCGTGTATGACAGACCTCTTGATTGGGACCTTACTGTCTAGTTCTTTGCAAGATTATTAGCTACTGTTGGTAGTAGGGATTTTTTTAGTGCTAAAACCAGTATCTCATTTTTAAAAAGTACCGGTCTTATCTGTTAATGCTGTCAGTGGTCCTCACATGTCTTGTAACTCTTCTCATCCTGGCTGCTATACTGGTTTTTTTTTAACTTTAAAAAAGTGTTTTGTGCTGATCCTGGACTATTTTTGCAATCTAATAGGGACAGCTCAATCTCCTACCTTACTTATAAGGGATTTGTAAACTCCTACAAAATGATCACTGTCTGAAAGTGCTTTTATGTTTGACTGTGCAAGTTTTCATGTAACCTGTTTGAAACAATTGTGGTACAGCATGAGAACCTTTACAAAGTTGCTCCAGTCTAAACCCACTATTTCAGTGGCCTTATACAAGAGTATCTCTGCATAGGATTGCACTGTAAGTGTATGGATTGTACAAGTTAAAGTGTGGACAGCATACTTTGTGGGAAACATGGGAATAGCATGTTGGGCCACAAATGTTAAGAATTCTTAACTACAGTGATCCATGCTTCGCTACAGTGATCCATGCGATGGTCACCTTGAGACTAGACTACTGTAACGCTCTCTACATAGGGCTGCCTTTGTCGCGGATTCGGAAGCTACAGCTAGAGCAGAATGCCACGGCCAGGCTGCTGATGGGTCTCCCTAGAAGGGAGCACATCCAGCCTGTGCTAAGGACACTGCACTGGCTGCCAATAGCATACCGAATCCGCTTCAAGGTGCTGGTTCTTACCTTTAAAGCCCTATATGGCCGGGGTCCAACATACCTACGGGACCGCCTTTCCCCATATATACCCCAGAGAGCACTACGGTCTGGGTCTCAAAACCGGCTGACCCTCCCTGGCCCGAGGGAGGCCAGGCTAGCTGCTACTAGGGCTGGGGCCTTCTCGGTGGCAGCCCCTACCTGGTGGAACAAGCTCCCAGAGGAGATCAGGGCCCTGCAGGACCTTTCTCAGTTCCGCAGGGCCTGCAAGACGGAGCTCTTCCACCAGGCATTTAATTAGGGGCCACCGCCACTGTAGTGCCCGGCCCATAATTTTACCATTGAGCAGCTGCCAGGAGAGCTGTTGAGCAGAAGAACATCTAGTACTGTTGGGAATCCATTTGAAAGCATTCCATCTAATTGAATTTTTAATCGCTGCCAGCACTTTGTATTGTATTATTTTTGTGTTTTAATTATGTATGTTTTATTCTGTATTTATGTGACTTGGAAGCCGCCCTGAGCCTGCTCTGCGGGGAGGGCGGGGTACAAATGTGACAATAAATAAATAAATTCTAGTCTCGATCACCTTTGAAGTCATTCATTTTGGCCCTTACAAATTACATGTATTGTTACAAGTTACATGTATTCTCACGTGAAAGGGCTACGCTGTGAATGAATGACAGAGGCCCGGGCCCAAACCTCCCATCCACGTTTTAAGCCGTCCTCACCCACAACATATAAAATATACTAGAATGTACAGAGACATGATGAAGTTTCAAAACCGAACAAAACAGCTACCATAACAGTTTGGAGCATACGATTTAAATTGTAATTGCCAGCCAGGTTAGGCTATTATCTCACACACATACATGTATACTGTTTTCCTCATCACTGCTACTGCCATTCAGTCAGATTTATAGGTCCAACCCATTACAGCAAAACACAAGAGAGGTACTGAAAGCAAACACAGCCACCTTTACAAATGAAGACTGAATGAAATACAACAGCATTTAACTGATTCCAGTCTTGTGACAAGTACCACACCATAGGTATTCAAAGAGATATTGCCTGAAGTTCAAACACACAAAAGGTGACCTTGGCTGCTAAAAGGCATGCTCTTGAGACTTCAGTGCCTAACTGTACCATAAACTCCTGAAGTGACCTTGGCATGTCCTTACACCTTTCTCAGGGCCTTCAGTCCTCTCTTAATATTTTATCTCGTTAAACATAGCCAGACTCTCTAACCTTTCCTCTCAAATTTGAAGATTGTTCCAACAATTAACAGCTCTTTCATCTGTTCCTGCTTATAAATTTACTTCCTACTTTCTTTACCCACAATCCGCTGAGTAGTTACAGCATATCATTCACTGGCACTATTGGAAAACACAGAGAAAAGAATCTGAATCCTTAAAAATGGGACAGGACTGAAGAATAAATAATGAGTATGATTGGAGAAGAGAATCTATTATCAGATATTCCCTGTTCATGACCTCCAGTATGGTGCATTGGGCGGAGTGCTGGATTTGGACTGAAGGGAAAGAGGCATAAATCTCATCAGATAGCCTCGGGCAGGTCACTATGCCTCAGCCTGACCTACTTCACAGAGTTGTACTGCAATGGATAATCCCGTGTGTGATGGCCTGAGCTTCTTAGAGGAAGGGGCAGGAAACCAATGCATATAAATAAATAAAATATTCCTCTACAA